CTTTCTCTTTGTTGAGAGTCTCACTGAGGTCTTCCACTGTTTTTTCAAGTCCAGTGATTAGCTTTATAACCACTACTTTACATTCTCTACCAACATATTACTTATCTCTGTTTTGTTTAGTTCTTTTGGTGTAATTTTACTCTGTGTCCTCAATTTGTCCAGCTCTCTGTCTCTTTCTATGTGTTAAGAAAGTCACCTGTGTCTCTTGCTTTTGAAAGTAGTGGCCTGAAGAAGAAGAGGTCCCACAGTGGCCTGCAGTGCAATGTCCTGTCTACCAGAACCTAGCACTTCTGGTGTGTCTCCTATGGGTATTGATTATACCCTACTGTGATGGCTGCACTACCTTTGCCTTCAGTCCTGTCATCTGCAGGGGCTCGCATTGCCTGTTTATTCTCTGTGTTTGTAGTGGGCCCATCTGGGCCTGCCTTGGACTCAGATTGTGTCAGACCAGGCATTTGCTAGATGGTAGATCTAAACTACTGGGCACTTTCCTTGTGTTGTCCCCTGAGAAGCTTTTGTTGGCGGGTGGTGCTTCCAGTCAGACCAGAGGCCTGCCCCCAGTCCCTTCCTGGTATGTGTGGTTATCTTCCCCTCTCCCTGACGCTAGAGTCACTTTGGAGTGGTGCTGGATCCCTGTCGGGTATGCTTGCACACCACTATGCTTGTGACACCACTTTGGATGGGCTCTGGCCAAGGGTGTATGGGAGGGGTGGATATGCAAGAGAATGTGGGGTGGGGCACATGGTGCTGGCAAGTTTTGTTGGGGGTCTCCTGTGGGCGGAGATCTGGGACATGTCTGTAGAAGATGGGGGTGAGTCTCACTGTTAGTAGGCTAGATGGATGTTGGTACTGTGTTGATTCCTGCAGGTGGCCTTGTTGGGGGGAGCAGGGGAGGGAAGTGGTGCCTGCCAGCTCTTTTTATCCTAGGTATGTCTCTTATAGATTCCTGCTCCTCCAGCACATGCTGTGAGATTAGTAAGCAAATCTCCTTCACTTACATCCTAGGTGTTCTTCATTGCTGCTTCTGTGCTGTATCTCAGCCAGGCTATTTGCTGTGCTGTCTCTTTAATGGTAGGAATTCAATGTCCTCTCACCTTCCAGGCTCTCCCAAAGCAGAGCCCTCTGATTTTTAAAGCTCTAGGTATTAAGCCCCACTGATTATAAGAACTCATGACATTAGGCCCCTCTCGTTTTAAGAGTTAAGTGTTATGGGGATTTGTCTTCTCTGAGGGCTCCCGTGCCTGGGTAATAAGGTCTGCCTCTCTACACCTGTGGTATCCCTCCTTCCCATGGACTGTCCCACTGGTCTATTAAGCTGCTGACTGCACCTTTGCTCTTCCTACTTCTTTGATGGGGCCTCTTCTCTTCATTTAGCTGTAAACAGTCTCTTCTGCCAATCTATGGGTCATTTTCTGGATTATTTATACTCGTGTGTGTTATCTAGTTGTATCCATGGGAAGAGGTAAGCTTAGGATCTTTCCACTCTACTGTCTCCTCTGGAAATCCAATTTCCTTTTTCTTTTTTTTTTTTTTTGAATTGCTTTGAAAGAAAGGTCATAACTAAATAACAGTCCCAATCACAGAAGTGTTCTTTGCTTTAGGTTTTCTGATATGATGTTCCTCTTGCATCCTGTCTTCAGTACTTGCCTTCCTCCCCCACCTCCCATCAACCCTCAAATCTTGGGATTTGATTAGCTTGTACAATAGATTTGAAATACTATTTAATGGATTCCAAGATACACATATTTTCACATTTTAACATCTCTGAAATTGAGGTGTCTTTTAATCATGGGGTGACGTGTCCTCATTTAATTGGCACCATGTTTTCATTCCTTTTGGTATATAAAATGATGATGATGTTATAATCTATGCTGTTTTAGATCTGATGAACTATAAATACTTCCCAGAGGGTTTCCTTATTTTGGCAACCTTCCCCCCTCACCAACCCCCCCAGGAAGCTTTTTATCTTCCCAAAAGAAAAGAACAATCTGCTTAGGAAGGAGGAATACAGTCTCGTATGGGCATTCCAGTCATTCAGGAGTAAGCAGTTTCCAAACCTTTCTGGGCTGAGGAGAAAGAGAAAGAATTGAGACTCAAGTGTCCTGACTCCCAAGTTGAACCGGAAGTCCTGCTGGGTGGGAGAAGCAAGATATAGGAAAGATCCAATAGGCTTGGGACCCAATATAAAGCAGTCTTGCTTTTTGCTTCTTCGGCCATTGCTCTAACAAATTGCAAGCCTCCTGGAGAAAGCCTCATGATGTTGGAACATGGCATCTAGTAGCTGACAAATGGCAAAGGTGATATTTAAATGAATGGACTGGAGTTAACACTTCTATTTCCCCCATGGCCACAAAGATCCAGAAGTTCCTGCATCTCCCAGAAGAATGCTAAAATAAACTGAGTCCAGGGTGAATACTTGACTGAGCAGAGACCTTGGGATGGAAGGACCCATTTTGCAGGGCTGCAGCACAGGGCAGTTCGGACTGTCCAACAGTGGAGAGACCAGATGCCCTTCCCCATTACCATCTGGGGAAAGTTGCAGGGAGACCTGAATGGGGCTGGGACTCTAATGGGGGTCTTTTAAATGCCTCTGAAATAACATTTCAATGATTTTTAAGCTGGAAAACACTGAACTGGCAAGATTTTGTTTCCTTCATTAGTAAGAATGCAGAATTTGAGTGCAATCTGAACTTATAATTGAAAGTAAAACATTGTTTTGTTGAACATCTGAGCTGTATGCACATTTTAACCCCACTACAGTGGAATCTTTTTTGGGGAGGGGGGTGATAGGAAATCTCAAATACTGGAAGTAGTCTGGGTTAAAGAAAAAAAAAATGGCTCTGGGTATAGTACTATAAAATAGAAATATTTATGGTGGTGTGAAAGGATGAAAAAGCAGAGAAGATCAAAAAAATGGGAAAATTGGGAGTGCCTCTTGGAAACAAAGGAAAGAGGAGGCATTTGCTGAATTCTGAAGTGCTCTTGTAGAAGTCCTTTGATTTGATGAGGAGCCATTTGGAATTCTTGAGAATGGGTCATCCCAATGTGGTACTGTTTAAAAAAAATTTTTTTTTAAAGATTTTAGAGAGAGAGTGAGTGAGTGAGAGTCAGGGGAAGGGCAGAGGAAGAGAGAGAATCTCAAGTAGACTCAACACTGAGCATGGAGCCCAAGGTGTGGGGCTCGATCCCCTGACCCTGAGATCTTGACCTGAGCAAAAACCAAGAGCAAGACACTTAACTGACTGAGTCACATTGGGGCCCCAGTGTGGTGCTATTTTAACAACCATAGGTTCCCATGGGATGTTGGTGCTGAAAGATGTAGTCTAACCTCATTGTCCTACAGATAACGCATACAGGGAACCAGAGCAATTTCACAGAAATCAGTTCAAATGATAAATATGAGAGAGAAAAGAAAACAAATACATTAAGGACTCAATAGGAATGAGCCTGTTTTGCATCAGTTGGGGAGAAGAATATGTTGGGGCATGAAGAATCCTCCTCTGGAAATAATGAAGAGGTCATTTGTGAAGAAGGCCAAAAATCTACTGGAAAGTATACATGCTGACAGGCGCTAAATGTGTTTTAATTTTTTATTAGAGAAGTTGAAAGTTTAATGTCAGTCTTGACGGTAACATAATTTTCTTTGCTTTGTTCAGAGGAACACAGAATCCATTTGTACAAGCATATACAATTCAGTTGGTGCTTTGTGTCCTAAAATCAATCCTCTGATTAGTTCTAGACTACTGTTTCCATGCGCTCCTCCCGGCTTTGGCAGCATGGCTCAGTTCCCTGCGGAATACTTTTTCATGCACTGTCTGCAACGCAACAGCGGGCTTAAAGACCATGCAGATAAACACTGTAGCAAATTGTTTTAATATCGAACAGACGTAAAAAGGTTATTTCCTGATATGAAATTCTGAAAATCTGCATAAATATTTTTGTGTAAAATTAAATTAGTTATGTATTTTTTTTGAAACTAGAACTTGAAGTATCAAGAATGCCCACATAATTCATATACACATATATATAGACTTTTTCATTATGCTAAAAGTCTTGATAGTCAAATTATATTCTGTGCCATACATTTATTTAGCCAGTGTTTATTTGGCATTAGGTTAACTGCATGTGTACGGATTAGTCCTAATGGGTGCCTATGTATCATGCAAACATAGTTCTAGTATTCCTGTTGACTAATCTTGTCATGTGGCAATACTTAGATGATTTTGCTCTATAACAGTATGAATTAGGAGTATAAATACTTTATACATGGTCACATTTACAAACGTTTGCCAATAACCACTTCACAATCTTCATGGTGGAATAGTGTGTTATAATGTCTGGAATCGGCAGAAGCAATTCCTATAAAGCAAATATCAGCTGTAAACGGTCTTATGTGTACCTAACAGAGTTCTCCCTTGAGCCCTGATGAGTTTTGGCACAGGTACACTATTTTTTTTTTCTCTAATAATTTCCACAACTGTTATAGGAAATTAGCTTCTTATGGCATGGCAGAGACATGGCACTTACTGATGAGGTAACTTAGATGTAGAAAAATTCTGCAAAATTATTTGTCTAGCAGATTGCTGCTTCTGCTGATGAATTCGTAGACAGAGTTTTGTTTTTTTATCCCCCTAGTGCATGCACTTGCTATTGAATTACTAATGCACTATTTTTGCTGCAGCTCAAACATGTCCTAAATGCATCACAGAGCAGAGTTGTTAACACCAAGCTCATTCACTTGTGATGGTATTTTATAGCAAACATGTTTAAGTTGTAATAGCAAGGGTAAAACTCTGCCTTACTGGGACAGTAATTTTGGTGGATTCGGAGCTACTTTTGGTTGGCCAAAGAACCCCAATACTCAAAACGTTACATAGAAGTATGTCAGTCTCTATGATTTCGGGTCACCTCTCGTCTGCGCCTAAAAGACAACAGCCGTCTTGCGTGAAATCTGTTTTGGGAAGGTTGGGGGTGATCTTTTGATGCTGTGTGGTGTTGCTTCAGTTTGAATTTTGGAGTTTCACACTACTGTTGCTGGCCTGCGGTCCATCTCGGCTTCCAACTTCACCATCTGCTGCATCTCCTTCGCCTGTAACATCAGAAACGAGGCCTTAGGATACTGCACATGCAGCCACTCCAGACTCTCTTCTCCTGCAAATCTAATGCTATCACTCTATCCCTGCTACTCAAAGTGAGGTCCAGGGATGATCAGCATCAGCACTGCCTGGGACCTTGTGAGAAATGCACAATCTTGGATTCTAACCCAGACGTATGGGATCAGAATGTGCATTTTTCACAAGATCCCAAAGACATTTTTTATGCACATTAAAAGCTGTGAAGGACTATTTCTACAGCATGCCAGGAAAACCATCTGAAAAGAGGCTAAGCCAGTCAATACTTAAGACTAGGTCATGTCAAACCGTTTGCTTTCTAGAGATGGACATGTTGCCTTGACTGTGTGTAATCTGAAATTTTAGGAGTGTTGCTTATGCACACAGTTTTCTTCCAATAGCCTGAAATTTAATTAATTCCCTAAGAATCTGACTGATGGAGAAATTTAGGTGGGATCGTATCACGTTGGTTTGGCTAGAGTACCTTGCAAATAAAACATTACCTGAATATGTAGGGTTCCTAGAAGCCCATTGTCCAGAAATTCTCCAGCTCTCACTTCTTTGGGGTAATTTTTTATAGGCTTCATGAGACTGAGTTCACCATGGCTTAAGACTGTCACTAGACAACCAGGTGGTTTTGGAGGTAGAAAGGAGTCAGAGGGTCAGGGCGGTGGCGCATGGTGGGGAAGATTCCAGTGACAAATGAACTCTCTTATTTCAACATTTACTTTCCAACTGGTTTCTGGATGTTTGGGTCCAACCCAATGCATGCATCTTTTGAAGGAAAAATAAAGCATCCCTTTCGTCTTTTTGTGACCTACCACTTTGAAATAAAGGCCATTTAGGAATGGAAACATGGATATATATAGCTATTACTCAGAGGAGGACTCTGAAGAGGTCTGATGTTACTCCTCATCTCTGCTTAGGTACTCCCAACTCAATGGAAGGTCAGTGGGGGAGGGGGAGAGAGGATGTCAAATCCATAGGTCATCCTATGAGTATCTAAATGTCCCCAAAACTAGTTTGATCCAAGGACATACAGGAATTCTCTTATTTCTACATTGTGGCTTTAAATTTCCTTTTGGCAAATATAGATATAGTAATACCAAAGAATTTAATCTTTCTGCTCAAATATGGGACGGATGGTTCCCTCTACCTAGAGAGTTTTCACTGCCTGAAGTATACTAATATTGAGAGAAATGAGAAATGGAGAAAAATATACAAACATGAAACTATGACACAAACAGTATTCATAAGAGATGACAGTGAAAACGTATCAGCATTGGAAATTAAATACTTTTATGTTCCAAAAGTAGTAATAAAAGATGCCCTATTCTTCTCCCTGCTTAGCATTTAAAGACGATATTGAACATATGTCGTTATAGGGCTAGTCTCAGAGCAAGGGTCTCAAATGAGCAGGGTGACCATTCATTCCCAATTGTTGGGGACAGTTCCAAGTTATGCCCATAGTCCTGGCAAGTATGAACATCATCCCCTCTCACTTGCAAAACTATCCTGGTTCAGATAATAAATTATATGGTCACCCTACTTATAAGAGGTGATTAGGGTCCTTGGCAGACCAGATCTAGCAGAAAACATGGTAAGAGTCACTGTATAATGACACTGTATAATGAATGTTTCCGCACGCAGACTATAACTCTGTCATTAAAAAGCACCAATAAACTTTTAGTAGGGTGCTTTAACAATTAATTGCAATCCTATTAATGCTTGTGAAAGTGCTGACTTTGTGACCCAGTCTTAGCGGTGGTCGGTCCAAATGACAGTCATATATCACTGTTCTTGATGCCTGGGAATATCTTCATTAGCATGACTTGAGTTTTCTAGGTCTGCTGTAGGAACCATTGGCTAAGACTCCTTCAGAAATAATTCTTAAGATTTTGGGCATTTCCATTTGAGTATTACCTCAGAAATCCAAGCATGAAATAATCAAGCTTTTAAATCCAAACCCGTGAGATACTAATAAGTTATGACCAGAGGTGAATCATAAATGGAGACTGCACCGAGCATACTAACAGAGCTGAGAAGGAAAGCAATGTCTTGCTTATCAGAGTTTCGGTCCTACCTTGTGTTTGGGACACTGCATGGCAGGATTTCAATAGCTGTTTGTACAAAAATAGTAATGTCAAAATTGAGTCATACATATAAAACAAAGAAAATAAATGAATACTGAATAAATGAATACTTGAAAAATGAATGCAAAACCATATACAGAAAAGCAAAGAGCTAAGAATAAAACATGTATATGCCCATCAGTGACGAACTCCCCTCCCAGGTTGGTCTCAACAGAAAATTAAAAAACAACAAATAAACAAACAAACAAACAAAAAAAAAAAACCAAAGCAAACAACCAATGCCTAGGACCCCAGACTGTCCTCTCCTGCAGGAGTGAGTGGGAAACTGTCCCGTTAGCAAGAACCTTCACTTCTCTTTATTAAATGATAGGATTGATGACAAAAATCAACTTGTAAAGCTTGGGTATGATAGTAATGGAGGGTTAATATTTGAAATGGTACATGGCAGGATGGATGACATACTCGTGGCTGGAAAGTCTATGGGAATATTTAGTAGAAAACTGCTCCCCGACCCTTGGAGTTTGAAGCATTGGATGACCAAGTAGGCAAAGCCATTAGGTGGCTTAAAAAAGAGCACATGAGGTTAGGATCCAGAATTGGGGCCAATTATATTAAATTATAAATTATATTAAAACTTGAGTTGTTTCTGCTAGTCCCCCAACACTGGTCTAGCTAATTAAGTAGCTCCTTGGGGGGATGGAGTGAGCTTCTGGGAGTAAGGTCACAAGGAAGCAAGTAAGAAGCTTAAAGCAATATTATGGATGAATGTTCAAAGTATTTTTGGCTTAGAAACAGAGAATAGTCTTTGGGTTTAACAAGGAAAAATTTAGGATTGTCTGGAAATAGGAAAATGTTCTGCCAGTGAAATGTTTAATTGGTAATGAAGGGAGCTCTTCTACCTGATTCCAGACCTTGCCTAGCATGAGGGAAGAGATGGAGTGACCTTGTCTTTTGCACCTATACCTGAGTTTGTAACACATGGACAGGATAACTAACAGCTCTCTGACCTTTAAATTCCAAACCAAACAAAACCATACTAGAAAGGCCTGGGACTGAATTTGTGATTGAACAGCCCATGTTTTGGTAAAGCAGGGCTTAGCATGGAAATTCAAGTCCAAATTCTACCTCTGCCAGAAGCATGGATAGAATATTGTGAATTTTTCATTGAATGTCCTTAACTCTTCATCAGATCTCAAGCTTCCTTGCGATCTGTGCTTTCCTAAGCTTCTGTGACTCAAAGTGTCAGCTGTGGGTGGTAGACATTGTTTATGACATATTGAAAGGCATTACATGAATTTTTGGGGAAAAAAAGCCACCATCCTCCCGATACGCTCAATCAGTCCAGTTATCACTAATCCCATATATTTTAATGCAAGAACTCTGGTGTGGTTTGAGTTCTCCATGGGTTAGGATAAAAGCTCAAAGTGATTTTTTTATTATGTACTTGGGATCTGAAATGAAAAACAGTAGGTAAGTGTATTTTCCAGCTCTGATATTCACCACTATTGTAGTAATGAGTAATTTTTAGCACATTTACATTCCTTAGCCAAACTTGTTGCTAAGCAACACAGTAATTTCTAAGTAGTTTCTTAATTTAGTTAACTGAAACATAACGGTGCCTTACCTTCATTGTGCCTTCTTCTGAGAGGCATCCTTATCCCACCCAGCCCTGAATCACTGAAGTAGATCCTAATGTTTTGGAGACGGTGACTTTACCTTTATTCACATTCCCATTTTGCCCAATGGGAACACTTTCTGGAAAGTGCTTTAAGAGCAAAAACATAAGCTAGGTATCCTGTACCAGAACATGATGTATCTATGAGATGGTCACATGAATTAGACCCACAGGACAATAAACGTTTATTGTCCCCCTTGAGGATCTGTGGACTGTTCATGAATAGAAGCATTTAGCTGAAAAGGAAATGTGAAACATAACTCAGAAGTATGCTGATGAATAGAACTTTGGTCTACCAAAAAGTAACAAATCTGAAACCGGAAGTAGGATTTGTTACCCAACTGTAATACAAAAAAGAAGATTTTATGGTTTTGTTTTACTTTCTCAAAGATACATTTTAGTGTAATTCCAACTGAAGTGTTTTTCAACAGAAGCCATTTACTCTGAGAAATATACCTTCAATAGAAGTACTTTATAGATGAAATAGGAAAGAACAATGTAGTATGAGAACCGATTTCATCAAACCCTCTTCACAGTTTCTAGATGGAAGTAGATTATCTGGATAAAAAAACTTCTAAACAAGCTATACCTTACGACTGAAATTTGAGACAGACTGAAATTGAAACTGCTCTGTAGGGTCATTTTGCCTTATAAGCTAGAGCTATGGCCATCAGCTGAAATAAATGGCCGATGGATTGCGTCACCCATTGGGGAAGGAGCCCACCTGCACCGCCTTTTAGGTAAACATAGAGAGATCTTGCTGTTGCTCTCTAACAACAGCTGATGGCTAACTCAAGAGGTGGATTTTGGATAACTATTGGTGTTGACTTCTTAGTGTTTTGTCTAAGGAAAAACACCAAGAGTATAATATCCACTTGCATTCAGTGGTTTGTAGAGTTTTGGCAGCTCCTTTCTGTGGGTCCCACTTGAAAGCCTTGAGATTGTTTTAGGACTTTGCTTTTTAGATTGACATTGAAAAGAGGTAGTTTCTCTCATTTGCTCTTAAGCATAGCAAATGTCTGAATTTGCTCACTCCTACGTTGCAAATTCTAAAACTCTAAATGAAAATGAAAAAAACAATTTGTAACCTTCCTCTTCTCTTCTCAAGGGCATCATTCTTAGAACCATCACCATCTATTCAAAGGATGACTTTGGGTTCCCCGCTATGCCCCCCACCATGGCTGTATTCCTCTCCCACTTCCAAAAAGAATTATTTGTCTTGTTTGATGAAATGGGGAATATACAGCAAAAGGGGTCACATTTTTACTAGCCACCTTTCCACACCACTACTCATGGCATTTGCCCCCCAAAGCAGGCTGGCTCTGTCTTTTCATGCCTTTTAGGTAAGATACCTGCTCATTCTGTTTCTCTAGGAACTCGAGGTGTTCAAGCTGGACTTTTTTCAACTGATCCATTTCTTTGGACTGTTTCATTGCAAGCTGTAAAAAAGAAAAATTCGGATAAACTTTGGGTTGTAATCTGAAAACTTACAGATGAGGTATGACTGGTAAGTTTACAATTTAACTGAGGGAGATGTTTATAAAAAAAAATCAAGAAAAATAGTCTGAAAACTGAAGAGTTTAAACCCATAATTATTAGTGGGAAGATCTTCTCTGCTAAAATCTTCTCAGAACGTAATAGAATATTTATGCACAATTAAAGCTTGGCTTTCTTTTCCATATAAAATGGTGCCAGATTAATACCATCAAGATTTAAGAGATAGATTAGTTAGCTCTCAGGGAGCAGGCAAGAGAAGCTGGAATGTTTAATGTACAGAAAAATCAAATTAAACAAATTACCCAGAAGAGGTTTGATACCTAAGCATGAGTTATTGTTTACAGTGCCAAGAAAATTACAAAATACTTACTCTCTTTCTTTCTTCCAGAAACTTTTTGGTGTTGCTGCTATTTAACTCCCTGACTCGCCTAAAAGTAATAGGTACAAATAACAGTTGGCATGACGTTGAATAGAATTAACATAATATTACATAAGAAAGCGTTATATTCCATTTAATTCTCTGGATGGGATTATCACTTTTCCTAATTTTTGCGGAATTTTTAAAGACATAATGTAGAGAGAGAAATACAAACATCTTTGTACCCATCACTCAGGTTAATTAGTATTAAGGTTTTGCCCTTCTTGGCTCATCTTTTTAAAGGAAACAAAGTGTTACAGATACAATTAAAGTCCCTTTTGTATTTTTCCAGATTCCATTTCCCTCCTTCCTTTCTCTCTAGACATAACCACTATTTTGAGTTTGGTATGGACATTCCCATCCATGTTTTAACATTTTTATTCCATATGGATGTGTATCCCCTTTGTAATATATACAAACACTTCTCAAACTTTTGGGTGCCTACAAATCAAATGGAGATACTCTCAAAAACACAGATTGCTGGGCTCACTGCCAGAAGATCTGATTCAGTGGGTCTGGAGTAGGGCCTGAGATTCTGCATTTATAACAAGCTCCCAAGTGATACTGCTGGTCTCCATTGTTCTGTTTCCCAAATTTACATAAATGGTAACCTACTCTGGGTTTCTCCCCATAACTTAAAACTAGAGATATAACCGTGTTGCAAACTATTTCATTACTTTCATCATTGTATGGATTTTTTTTGTTTATGAAGAGAATACAATATTTCCAGTTTGCCATTAATGACAAATAGGTTATTTCCCAACAATGCTCCAATGATCTGGTGCATAGGGCCCTGCAATGCTTGGAGTGCTGACGGTCTGTTGATTTAATAAATGTAGGGCATACTTTTCTGTGCATATGAGCATGGACTTCTCTAAGGTATATGCCTAGATTTGCAGGTTGGTAGGGAATGAACAGCTTCATCTTTACTCCAAAGCGCTTATCTTTATTGGCATTCATAACCAGGGTCTGAATGCTACACTTCCTTCAGGTCTTTGCCCATTCTTGGTATTGTCAGACATTCACTTTTGTGTCAATTAGTTCTGTGAAATGGCATAACAACCAGCGAGGCTGGCATGATTTTCCTGACTGAATAGACCTCTAACTGATTGAATTTGCCTAAAGCTATGAGTCTCTTCAGGTTTTCTCCTTCCTTTTCAGTCAGTTTTGGTTATTGGTATTTTTCTAGGCAATTTTCTATTCCCTTTAAGTGTTCAAACTCACTGCCAGTATTCTTTAAGTAGTCTTCTTTTCAAAAATACTGATTAGATCTGCAGTGATTTCTCCTTTTTATTTGTATATTTATTTATTTATTTTTATTTAAAATATTTTATTTATTTATTTGACAGAGAGAGGGAGAGAGATCACAAGTAGTCAGAGAGGCAGGCAGAGAGAGAGGGGGAAGCTAGCTCCGCATTGAGAAGAGAGCCCGATGCGGGATTCGATCCCAGGACCCTGAGATCATGACCTAAGCCGAAGGCAGAGGCTTAACCCACTGAGCTACCCAGGTGCCCTCTATATTTATTTATATATTACTAACTTGTGCTTTTTCATTTCTTGAGCATTCTTGCTGGAGGGTCACTGGTTTTATCTTTTTTCAAATAATAAATTTTTGTTTTTGGTGATATTCTACATTGCTTTTTTGCTTTCTACTTTGTACTTTTTGCTTTTTTATTTCTCCCTATCTGAGATCTTTAGGTTCATCCTGTATTTCTAATTTTAGACTCTCTTGAGTGTTTAACTCACTAGTTTGCATTTATTTTAAAAAGTATATACACCTAGGGGCACCTGTGTGGCTCAGGGAAGCATATGGCCCTTGATTTCAGCTAAGGACAGGATCTCAGGGTTTTGAGATCAACCTCGCGCTGGGCTCCCTGTTGGGCATAGAGGCTGCTTAACGTTCTCTCTCTTCCTCTGCTTCCCACTTGCTCTCTCTCTCTCTTAAAAAAAATGTATATACAGTGAGTCTATAATTAATTCTCAATCTAAATATCACTTTAGCTACCATTTAAGATTTAAGACCTGTTCTCTTAGCAACTTTCAAGAATATAATACTGTTAACTATAGTCACCACGCTCAATATTATATATCTGGAACTTACTCATCTTATAACTGGAAGTCTATCCCCTTTAACATTTTCCCATTTCTCCACTCCCTTAACTCCTGGAAACCATTGTTTTACTCTAAGTGGAAGCATACGTTATTTGTCTTTCTCTGGTTTATTTCACTGAACATTATGGCCTCAAGGTCCTTCGATGTTGTCACGCATACTAAAATTTCCTTCTTTTTAAATGGCTGGATAATATTTCTGTGTGTGTGTGTGTGGGCGCACGCGTGCGTGTATGAGGACATACAATGACACGGACTTTATCTATTCATCCGCTGATGGGCACTGAGGTATTTCCAGGTCTTAGCTACTTGAATAATGCTGCAATGAACACAGGTGTGCAAATATTGCTTTGGTATAGTGACTTCATTTCCTTCAGATAGCTACCCAGAAGTGGGGTTGTAAGATTATATGGTATTTCTATTTTTAATTTTTGAAGGAACCTCCATATTATTTTTATAGTGGCTGCACCCATTTACATGGCCCCAACAAAGCAGAAAGCTTCTCTTTTTCCCACATCCTCACCAACACTTCTTTCTTATCTTTTTGATAAATAGCCATTCTAACAGGGATGAGGTTTTATTTCCTTGTGGGTTTGATTTGCATCTCCCTGATGATTAGTCACCTTGAACACTTTTCATGTACCTCTTGGCCATTTGTATGTTTTCTTCGGAAAAATGTCTATTCAGGTCCTCTGCCCGTTTTAAAATCAGATTGTTTTGTTGTTGAGTTGTATGAGTTCCTTAAGTATATTTGGATATTAATCCCTGATACGTGGTTTACAAATATTTTTTCCCATTCCACAGCTGCCTCTTCATTTTGTCGATTCTTTTGCTATGTGCTTTAGCTCCCTTCTACACACTGATAGACAGTACTTGCATTGTTGTTCCATTTTCAGTGTTGCACTGTTGTTGAAATGTCCTTGTTGACTCGGGAATAGAAGTCAGCTTCTATAGGTCCTTCTAAGCTATCTGATTGTAACTTCTTAGGTTTTATTTCTCAGTACTTTGGTAAAGTGGGCACACATACATAATGCGTGTGTTTGCACACACGAATTATTTTTAAAACCAGCTATTTGTAGGTGTTTTAGTACTACCTACCACTGGAGACAATGTCAAAACAAAAAAGTTAAAAACGTTGTTAATTATCAGTAACTTAGAATTTAAGATAATTTGACCTCAACTGGGCTGAAGTCAACTTTGTAACATACTTGAAAAAAGTGAAAAAGAGCTCTTTAATGATTAGCACATTTATCCAAATGAATTCTGTATTTTCAGGGAAACTAAAATAGTTCATATTGATGAGGTTTTCCCATGGCTGGAATATTTTACGTTTCTGAGCTAAAGCAGATGTCATTTCTACTATACAAGGCCCTTAAACAAAGTTCCTTGTCTGAGAATAAACAAAGAACCACAACCGGATGGTGTGAAGAAGTATTGATTAAATGGAGTAATCATTTCCCTAGATGCTTCATGTTGACTGAGAAATTTCTCGGCCAACATTTTATTTATTTATTTGACAGAGAGAGAGACAGCAAGGGAGGGAACACAAGCAGGGGAAGCGGGAGAGGGAGAAACAGGCTTCCCACTAAGCAGGGAGCCCGAAGTTGGGGCTCGATCCCAGGACCCTGGGATCATGACCTGAGCGGAAGGTGGACGCTTAACAGACTCAGCCATCCAGGTGCCCCTCGGCCAACATTTTACAAAGTCAATTCATTTCCAAGTCAAATTACTGTGGAATTCCATACCCAACTGATGACCCATTCCCAACTGTACTTAATTCAAACAACACTTCTGCATGAAAATGCACTGGATGGCACGATGCTTCATATTTTACCATACTTCATGGTTAACATTATTTATAATTGAGTTGTGCTTTTAAAGAAATCAACGAAATTGAGGTAGTTGGACAGCAGTTGTTGCCACATTCAAAACAAAAAGGCAGGGGCGCCTGGGTGGCTCAGGCGTTAGGTGTCTGACTTCGGTTCAGGTCATGATGCCAGGGTGCTGGGATCGAGTCCCAACATCTGACTCCCTACTTAGTGGGAAGTTGGCTTTTCTCTCTCTCACTCCCCCTGCTTGTCTTCCCTCTCTGTCAAATAAATAAATAAAATCTTAAACACAAAAAAATGAAAAGAATAAAAAAACCCCTAAAAAACTAAGAGGCAACATTTGGTATCCAGTGAGCCTCCATAAGAGACCACATAGACAGGGAGACCGTGAAACACAGGCACTTTCCTTTGCAGCTGCGAAGTTCTCCAGCAGCTCAGCCTCTAGCTCAGGGAGAGCAGACTGCCTTGAAGCCCTCAACACGCTCACGTCTCAGTCCCAAGAGCTAATCTTCATGTGGCTCGGTTATTTTGGGATCACTGAGAATCAAGGGATCTCAATGCCCTCTCTTGGGTGACAGGACTCCTGATACCCTCTCAAATCCCGTGTGCCTACAGAGTTTGCACCTGGAACCTTCTCTGGAGGTCACACACACCTTCCCCCACCCCCAGGTGGCAAATGGCTGATCAACACAGAAGGACAAAAGCCAGATGCCCTTGGTTCAAAGAGATCAGATAATGGTGCAGCTTATCCTACAGATCAGGCTTAGATGAGGCTGGAGAGGGCCTGTAGCAGAGACCAATATACCCTTGCTCCGTCACTGCCTTGGACCTTCCCTGCTTCCCCTACTCCTCTTCTCTGAAGATCCCTTCCTCGGTAAATGACTTGCATCCAAGTTCCTGTCTCGGTCTCTGTTTCTAGAAAACCCAACCCAAGACAAGGAGGAACCAGAAAACTCGAGTGGGGACTTTTGAGGTGTTCCCTGGGTTCAGGGACAGCACAAGGCAAATCAAAGGGAGAAGACTGCCCTCCTACAGGCTGCTAGTCAGAACCATCCCGTCCAGAATGCACCCACACCTGAGCAGGTGAGTTTCTTGCGTATTTTATGCAATTTGGTGTGTAGACGAGTGCACGTATTTTACTGGTGGTAGTAAAAAATCAGAAGACCAGTGTTCTATAGCAACCAGAATACATCTGCATAGCAGTTCTAACAGCAGAATTCATAGCCAACACTCACAAGGATTATGAGTAGTGTGTGTGTGCACATACAAACGTTGTGTTTATGTCTCCCAGTCAATGTTCCATCCCCGCAGGGAGTGCGCTCAGTCTTACCTTTCCCGTTCTGCTTTGTTCTTGATAGATTTATCTTGGCTGATGGCTTTGCTGTTTTCCATAGAAATCTTAGCCTGGTGTGCTCGCATTTCCTTGCTTTCCCTAAGTATTCAAAGTAAAGAAATAGGGATTGGGGGGAAATGGGGAGTTAGTGTTTAGTGGGTACAAAGTCTCAACTGGGAAAGATGAAAAAGTCTGGGAGACCAATGGTAGTGACGGCTACACAACAGTGGGAGTGTACTGACTGCCACACACTTTTAAAAATGGGTAAAATGGGGCACCTGGGTGGCTCAGTCAGTTCTGTCGGTTCCGGTCATGATCCCAGGGTCCTGGGATCGAGCTCTGCGTGGGGCTCCCTGCTCAGGGGGTAGTCCGGTTCTCTCTTTCCCTCTGTTCCTTTTCTCTGTATCACATTTAAAAAATCTTAAAAGAATGGTTAAAATGGCAAATTTTATGTTATAGATATTTTACTATAATAAAACAATTCTACAAGTAACAACAGGACTATGTTCGCTTTTTTTTTTTTTCCCATTATTAAGCTCATCGAGTTATTTTGTATCCTGTGGGAAAGAGGGAAAGAGCTCCAATACATGAGAAGTAGAAGTGGGTCACCTACTGAGGAAGTGTCAGTGATGAACGGGAATAAAGAGACATTACGTTTGTCCATTAAAAACATATTTTCCAGTTTTGCCCTACATTTCTTGGGATCAAATGGCCTGGAAGAGAGAGGATGTTCTGAACCTCACTAGTGACCTTCATGTTCTCTGACAGCTCATGGGAAGGAAGGGTACTGAGTAGTTATAGATAAGCATGGGATATCAGAGGGCTGGGGAGGGGAGGAAGCTTACATAAGGCCCCTGATCCCTGCATGTGCTGGGATGTCAGTGTGTACATGAGAAAGACTCATAGATTATTTATGTGTACATTAAAGGCATACATTTTGGAACACTGAAATGAGTATTGTTAGCAAGTAATTTTTTCTGGAATAATTTTTCTCTTTGAAATCCTGCCTGGAAACAAATGACCAAGGAGGAGTCAGGTGTTCTAAGTAGTGTCTGAACTGTCTCAAGAGAGATGGACAACACTGGGCCCACAGAGACAAGAAAATGCACAGAAACTCCTGGGCCCAAGCAAATGGCTCTCCAGTTGTTCCTTCAGTTGGTGTTATCAACCAACCATTTCCTTATTAATTCATTCGACAAGCACTTCTCAGTGACTAAATGTGGCTGGCCAGTCTTAAAGGGGGCAAGATTTTTTTTAACCAAGAGCATCAGCTGTGATTGTAAGGAAGACATACATCACACTGGGTGCTTGAGAAAACATCCAAATGCTCCTGTTACTTGGGAAAATGTCCTGGCTGTGCATTTATTTTTTAAGGAAATTAGTTATTAGGTTATGCTTTCTTCAAATAACTTCCAAAGCAATGCAAGAATTAGTGAACTTTTTTTTTTGAGAGCTAAATTCTTTTTTTTTTTTTTTTTCATTCACTGACAAGAAAGAGGAGAGAGGATTAGCCTCAGCCTGTGAAGTATCTTTGGAGAAGGAGGGATGGTTACAATCTGGTACTGTGGCAGCGGTCAAAGACAGAGTGGTGAGCAGACCTTTTTGTGTACTCAATCAAGAGCATCTCGCAGGGAAAAAAAATAAAAGACCACTCCTAACCTATACAATTTCATAGGATACTTTAAAACGGATAGGGGACCTCCAGCAAACTTAGCACCGTCTGCCTCCTTTAGTTGCCTTGAATGCGAATTGGCCACCATGTTCTTACGGCCGGATCAATCTCTCCAGAACCAGGCTGGGAATTCATGAATGTGCCCAGATAATTTTTGCAGTTAGCATTGAAAAATATTTTTGTTTGCTTTGTTCATGTAATGCTTCTATTTTCTACTCTTGAGTGTGTATCAATAGACCTAACAGTGGCAAAAGCGAGGCATGAAGGGCGAAGCCACCAAGCTGGAACAAAGCAGTGATCAGAGGATGTAATTGACATGGATGCTCTTCTGCTGGGGGTGGGGGATCTAGCTTATCATTTGCAGAACTTAAAAAGGATTCTTCAATTCATAAACTAATACTTCTTCACTGTTTCTTGATTAGGCCTATCTTCCTAAAATTCCTAGAAGTCCTAATCATGTAAAGTAGGATCCCACCACATTTAGCCACTGAGTGATCAGATCCGATCTGATCAAGGAGCTTAACTGGTTGGTGTTCATCTCTTTCTGTGTCCTCTCTCCTAAGAAGCTCCAGGCTACTTTCCAGAGCCCAGCGTTGGGCCTAACACTCTGTGAAGCCTCCATGACCGCTCTGGAGTCAGGAGAGCTCCTTTGGGCTGCTCTGCTTTTTAGTACACATCCCATACTATTTGTAAGTCAACTGAATTTTTCATGTGTGTGTTAAGACCTTGCTAACACTTGTAAGCACTTTGATGGCAGAGGCCATTGCTTATAGTTCACGTTGCTTGCCTCAGCTGTATGACATCGTACTCATAACAGCTCAGGACTACTACAAAATTAGTGGTTCCCTCTGGAGAAGGCGCACTTGCCTACCTGTCATGGGACATTTTCAGCTGCTGGGTTTGCTGCTCATGGGCATTGATCAGTAGTTTTCTCAGGAGCTCACACTGCTGGCTGAGGTGTAGGTCCCGGATTTCTTGCTCCTCAGCACTGTGGGTGTTGATCATTTCTGACCACTCCTTCGTGTGCTGGGCCACTATCTCTTTGACCTGTGTTGGGGGAAAAAGGGATGGTGCCACTTGGAACTCTCACAGATCAGGTATAAAATGAAAACACAGTATCGTTCGTGCATTTCAAATCCCACCCACCAATTTAGCTGGTGAATCAGTAGATACTCCAACCTGAAAAAAATATGTACCAATCCATGGGAATCAGGAAGTCATAGCTTCTTAGAATAATCCATCACTTTGGTTCTAAATATTCAGCCATGATCTGTGATTTCATTGCCTAACTTGTCCATGTTCCCTTTTGTCGGGACTCTGGCCTCCTTTATGGATTCCTTCAGCTTCTCATTTCCTTGTGCTCTTCCCGCTTCACATCCACAAGGCCACAGGTCTGAATGGAAAAACCCTATGTTCTCTTATGGCTGGATTATGACTCATTGTATCAATCCTACCAGACGTTGGGGTAGAAAGTCTCCCCTTCCCCATATCCATGCTCTTTGCAATGTGGTTTTGTACCTTTCCTCGTCAAGAGCTAGTGTCCATTTCCCCACCTCCTTGAATCTGGCTGCCCTTGGGACTTACTTCATCCATAAGACAGTGGCCTTGGGACAGAGCCTACGCTAGCCTGCTGGAGGATGAGAGATCATATAGGAAAAAGCAACCAGCCACCAGCTAATGACCAGGGTATCTGAGTACAGCCATCCATCCCAGTTGATTGCAGACACAGGAGTGAGCCTAATCAAATACCTAGAACTATTCAGCAGAGTATGGCCCAAATTCTGACACAGTCAGTTGTAGGATAATAACTGGTAGGTGTCTGAAGTCACTGAAGTTTGAACTGGTGTACTGTGAAGCAAAAGCTAGCTGCTATCATGGCCAAGGTTTCTACTTTCCTCCTTTCCTATCTGTGCAAAGCTTCTAGAAGTCACAGCATGTGTCTCAGAGACACAGAGCTTCCTGCCTCTATAACTTCACATAAGGGACACAAAATACGTAGCATGAGGAGAACCTCTGTTAAAACCACATTACTTGCCCATGTGAGCAGCAGGGCTACTGGCCAGATGACAGAGCTGTGTAGAGACACAAAGAGGCTGGCTGGTTTGACCAAAAGCTAGAGTTGGGAGTTTTAAGAGTACCCTCTCCGCTTCTGTAACTATTATTGCTAGAAGAATTATTTGTGTCCTTGACTGGAACGTGCGCTCAGTTCCTCAAAGGTCTTCAAGCTAGTCAGTCTCCCAAGTTCTTATTTTCTTGTGCTTTTGGGGAAATATGAGTAATTGAACTCATCTCCTATAATGTCAGCTCTTGATTTTTTTCCCCATCCTAAACTTCCACAGCAAAGTTAGAATGGGATAAATATCAAAGAGTTACTCAATCCCCAGGTTGGGGGCTTTTCTTCCCATGTTTAATGTTACTTCTCTAGAGAAGCATGTTCTGTATTTTATATAGTATTTGTCCTGTTTCACTTGATGCCCCAGAGGCAGGAGGCAGACAGCGTACAGACGGTATGCATAGCTCTACAGATGAAGGAAACGATGTTCCATGAATGGACCTTTTCAAAGCCAGTGAGTCTGGAATGAATGTGAATGCAGAGACCCCTTGACTTCTCAGAGCAGCCCCAGGTTACTGTTATTTCTGATTTAGGTTAGGTAAGGTTTCTAAAAAATTACAAAGTATCTTCTGCAAGTTCCTGCTGTAAAAATAGGCATTTTCTTACCTTAGATTTGTGATCTGATGTCAGTGTCTGAATTTTAATTTCAGTTTCTTTTTTCATTTCGAGACAATTACTTCCCCTGAAAATGGAAAATCATAAATGTGTGCCAGATGTTAGATTTCTTCCCATTCCCATGGGGCCTTGCTCCAAAGCTTTCTAATGAAGACAATTTGTTCATCAAACATGGGATGCCATGGCTCATTGGGCAACATCAGTATTTCTAGTAATAGATGTACACCTTACAAAACCTCTACATCGTGATTACTCAATTCAACCACTACACAAAGAGACACTTCCCATCTAACAATGATTTCATTGTTAAGGGTCTGTGGTCAGAGTTTCCATTTTGGTTCCTGCTTTTCTCGAGGCTAATTTTTCATTTATTCAATAAAATATTATTGAGATAATAACTAGAAAATAAGTCCTCAGCCTGGAAGTGAATTTTTAAATTCTTTCTGGTTATAAGGCCAGATTTTTGTCTTTTACACATGCCAGCAAGGCAGAAAATAGCATTTCTTGGCATCCTAGGGCAATTTTTGCTTTTTATTCCATTGTGACTAGGAAATACATACGAGGCAATTTCCCAACAACCATTACTGCTTATTTCAGTGATAATTTTTCCCTTTTGGAAAATCTGTAGCATAGCTGAAACCAGAACAGGTCCCAAGCTTCTGCCTTCAGCATAAACGCTCTGATGTATTATGGCCTAAGTCAGAATGCCTCATTATATTATGGAGAATGTCTCTGAGAGAAGCATTATTCTAAAAATGCCAGGACTCTGATCAAATCTATTACTTCTCAAGGGCAGGCATGGAGGATGCTCTCCCTCTAGTCTGTTATTCAGTGAGCTTATGCCATCACAGAAAGATCCCCCTGGCTTAGTTCTAGACAAAACTGCTTTATAGTAAATGCAGGAAGAGAGTTTAACAGTCTTGTCTGTTGGCATCCGCTGAAGATTCTTGTAATATTAAAAATCAAGACTGCATTTTTTTTCCCTCAGGAGAGCATCAAACTTATTTTCTGGCTATGCAAAAGGATTTCTGTAATTTCAAAATTTCCCAACTTTAACTTGCCCTTCCTTCTGCCCCCATTCACCTTAAAGATACCTGAGTGGAAAACACATGAGAGACATATTTACGGTGTCATCAATGAATGGCAGTCCAACTGGAATAAAGCTCCTCTTTTCTACTTCAATCCCTGCCCTCAGTTGGACGAGTCTCTTATTTTCCAGGAAAAATTTTTAATGGGATGAAAACACAGTCAAGACTATATTCTTCTTTGACCCAAACAGTTAACTGAACTGTTGGGAAAGACAAAAATATAAAAAGGCAAAAAGCATCCAGAAGGTAAAGAGCCATTACCCTTTCTTCTTCATCGCTTTCTCTAGGATTTTCTCATGCGTCGACTTCTCTTTGTCGTACTGTGCCACGATTTTGTCAACTTGTGTGCAGTGCAACTTCTGCATTGTGCTGTGCTCCTGAAGGAGAAGAATCTGCCGTCACAAGTTGGACTCTGGCAGGGTCTGACAAAATTTACCTGTGTTGGGCTGGCATGATTTTCAACAGCTTTCCCAGAACATGAGTTTGAGGTGAAACCAATTCTGAGAAGTGGAAGGATTTCCAATCTCCCACCCAACACAAGAGTTTCTGGTACAGAGGCAGCCCCAACAAAGGAGTATATATCCTCAACCTGAAGAACATGCCCACAGAACATGCCCAAAAGGTATCCCTGCACACTACTGGGCAGGACCAATCATCCCAAAGTCCTCTCTTCTACACATACATGTTCTCCACAGAACTTCTACCCACTCATCTTTGTTCTGTTGGAGACCACTAATTAGTCTACAGCACCTTCCACGCCTTGGTTCTCAAATACCCAAGTTCAGCTACCATACCTTCTCTATTTCACATGCTAAGTGTAACTGTTCACATGTGATATGGCTTCTCAATACCCAACATATTTTTGGAAGATCTTAAATACCATGACCAAACGGTAAGAACTGCCAGTAGGGTTGTCACTGTCAGCTGACTTCAAATCCCCATCATGCCTTTGTGGGAAGACTTGGAGAAGACAGGTGCTGGGTGGGAGAGATCCTCGGGACAGGAACTGACAACGGGGACAAGAGAGTGGTCCAGGGTTGCTGTGGATTTGAGATCAGGGAATCATATGGAACTGTATTTCCTTAATTTGTGGTTGGGACATCTCATGAATCTAGCCCCATTCCCAATATGTGTGCGCTTTGTGTTAGAAACACATTTCAGCCAGGGCTTTTGCAGTATGGTAGATTGGGTTGAGGCCATGGGTTCTTCAGGCTTAAGTCCTAGGGCAACTCATCTAGCCTCTTGGTCTGTTCATCTTTATAACTGGGATAGAGATATCTAGGTCACAAGGTTGTTAGGACTGAAAGCAAATATAGTAATATTTCAAATGCCTGTTACACCTTATTCAAAATATAGTAACATGTTCATGTTATTCAATATCTATGATAATATACAGAGAGTGACTTGGGATAAAGGAGAACAAGTAGAATGATTAAATCAGTCAACGTTCCCTCCCACTGAATCAGCCCCCTCAGGAAATCAACATGTTAAGGTCTCCTTACTTGAATGGATTTAACTACTCTTGCATTGCTGTGGACAACAATGAGCCTACTAAAATGCCTTACTAATAGTCTTCCTTTTAAGATTTAAAGGCATCACGCCTGCCCAGCACATGCGTTAATTTTCCTGGGCAAATAAATAAGGAACTCTGTGCAAGTGCAGATTCAAACAGATTAGAATAATCTTTCTGCTTTCCTGTTTCTTGCAAGTACCAAAGGGAGGGTGGAGAGGATCGTTCTTTAAATAGCCTAGTGCAGCACAAGAAAAGGAGTGGATTTTGAGGCTTGGAAGTACACTGACAGACTATTTCTTAAGGAAATATTCTGGTGAATCTTATTAACCCAATTAGAGATGACAATGAGGCTGTTTGTGACAAAAGGCATTCATGATGGATTCCAGTAGGTAAGACAGGTTCTACGAAGGCAACTCAAGTCTTTGTTCAGCAATACATGGCAAAAAACTTGGTTCATAGCAGGTGCTCATTAAATATTTGTTGTTCAAATGGAAAACAAAAAAAGCCAAGGGAAAACAGCAGTCAGTAATTCTGGTCTTAGTTCAGTCAATAATTAGCCAAGTGGCCTTGTACAACTGATATAAATCTTTCCAGCCCTCACCTTCTTTCTTAGAAAACTGAACAAGAGCCATTTGCCCTACCTCATTCATGGGTTGGTTATGAGCTGCAAAGTTACCGAATGTATGCAGGAGTAATATGGAGAATAAGGGAGCACCTAGGTGGCTCTGTAGGTTAACCATTTGCCTTCGGCTCAGGTCATGATCCCAGCGTCCTGGGATCAAGTCTCGCATCGGGCTCCCTGCTCAGCGAAGAGCCTGCTTTTCCTTCTCCCTTTGCCCCTCTCCCTGCTTGTGCTTTCTCTCTCAAATGAATACAATCTTTAAAAAAGAAGTATGGAAAATTAGAAGCACATTGAATCAAAATGATTACTGTTAATACAAATAACAAAGTTGGTCTTGAAAAATTATCTCTGTTTCTGTTTCCAGATCCCGCTTTTCCTTTCACAAAGGAATGCGCTCCTAATTATGTGATGGTGGTGAAGCCTCAGCTTCCTGAAGTGTAAAAGAGAAGAGCCAGGAAATGGTCTCTCAGTCCATTTTAATTCAGAAAAAGTCCATCATTGGTTTTATTCCTTGGTCCTTAATTAAATCATGAGACACCATCAAAGGGGCATAAATTTTTTTTTCATTCATTCAGGTCAAGAGTACCAAAATTAGATATGTTGACTGGAAAGTCAATCTTAGTTGGGATATTTTTGGGGTGAATACATATACAGCTTTTAGCAGGATTTATAGGTTTCTTATTAGAGTTAAGAGTAAATTCATCTTCTTGTGGGACAGACTTCCACTGCAATTCATTCTTGTGACTGATGGGGCAGTGGGCATGAATGACTGTACCACAAATATTGCTGAAAAACTGGATTAAGTCATGTTTGCTCAGCATGAAATTCTGAGGTCACCGGTAAGCTGCTTCTGTGGGTGGTTGCCGTGTCTCTTCCTAACAGAGTTGTGGGTCTGGCACTGCGGTCTTACTGCTAATTACAACTGACAAGTTTAAGAGCAGTCTTGATGTTATCAGCTAAATTGCTTGCATAGCAAAGAACAAATTCTCCATGAGTAGATTTACTGAATGCCACATGTTAGTCGGTTTCTCAGGCATTTCATTTGACTCATCTGCTGGTGATCCTGCAAACCAGTGGCCCCAGGGATGCATTCTGCCTACAAATGTGAGATTTCTGCCCGCTCTACATGATGTTTTGAGAGAAGACTGAATTAGGACTAATATTTAAAGATCTAGAAGTTCATATAAGATTTCCTATTTTAGGAGTCCTCTTTCAAGAATGAAGCTGGACCATGGACTCTCAAGGCACTGATGGTGGGGAGCTAAGTCTGATTTGCCTTTTGGGTGGGAATGAATTGCTCTTTTCCTCTGTCTGACCAATTGCCTTCATTTACTTGCTTAGTCCCTATAGGCATTTAAGTTGTAATTATTCTTCTAACATGTTACTGGGGATACTTACCGAACTTTGCTCTAAGGATCTGACCACATCAGGCGGTTGAACAGTATGCCCATTTCTTACTGAATGAAGCTCCAGTTCTGGACTCTAGTGACTCATGCATTAGGGGAGATTACTGTTATTTAGTTCTGCTTTTGCTAGCTCTCATCTAATGGACACTTGAAAACCATTCCCCCTAGTTTCCGTTTCAAATTAGAGAGCTAGTTCTAGAAAGTGAGAAACACAGAGAAGTCTGATTGCCAGCTGCACTCACAGGGTCAAAAGCAATGGCCAATGACCATTGCCAACTGCCCGAATGTAGGCATGTTAACTAGCAACCTAATCTCATTTGGGGCTCACATGGCCATTGTCCCTAACTTTTCTGCTTGGTGTCCTAAAAGCAGCTGACACACCTACTTCTGTGTCCCTTTTGCAGAAGGCAGATCCTCATACACCACAAGTCCTCCTCCATCCTATAGCTAACCTTCAAGTTGGAAAAGAAGATTTCTTTTGCATATTACATTTGTGTCTTAAGCCACTGGGATTTAGCTCTTGGATTCCTTTTAGTTCTAAGAAGTGGCATTACTTAGCTAGGCTGATATCTGAGAGCTGAGAGTGCTCTATAGTCCTAATATGGACTAGGCAGGAGTCTCTGCTCTTAGTTGCCAGTTGCCAAGGTTGATGCATGGACGCTGTGGTTGGGAGCAGACTGCCTGAACCAGATTCCCTCCTCAGTAGGTTACTTTATAACCCAAGGCCTTAGGGTGGCAAATCTTAGCCCCATGTTAGGGGGCTCCAAAATTGTTAAAAGGGGGTTGTAAGGTGTTATTTCACAGAAAGGTTGGGAGCATTTATTCTCATTAGTGCTTGACAATAGGTCAAAATCTGTTTTTGTAAGGAGGCCTCATCCTCAGCTTGCGGAAATTAGGGGGACTTCCACTAAGGGGTCAAGGGACATAATAGAGTACCAGGTTATATTCCTAAAGAAACAATTCTCAAAATGTGATGTGTGCAGGAGAGGTGCTTAAATTTATCTCCTAGACCTCTTCTTGGAGATTATAACTAAGTCTCAGATGCAAGAATATGCAGTTTTTACAAAGCTTCCACTTCTTGGTCCAAGAATCATATGTTGAAAAAAGAGTCCCAAAGGAGGCCAAGATATTTGTGCCCCAAGAGAATCATGACTGGCTTTAAAAACCTTTTACTAAGGCCATCAAGAAGATGTAAGAAATAAAAATCAATGTGGGAATACTCAGAGATAACACAGTAGAGTGGTTAGGAGTGTGAATTTCACTACTGGGTGTGTGAAAACACTAACTCCAAAAGATATATGGACCTTTGGAATTACAATAGCCAGGTTGTGGAAGCAACGCATGTGTCCACTGATAGACACATGGATAAAGAAATTGTGTTGTGTGTGCACAAACACTCACACATACATATAAAATGGAATATTATGCAGCCATAAAAAAGGATGAGATCATGCCATTTGCAACAACATGGATGGATATAGAGGGTATTATGGTAAATGAAGTAACTCAGAGAAAGACAAATACCAAATGATTTCACTCATATCTGGGATCTTAAAAAAACCAAAACCAAATGAAGAAACAAACAAAAAGCAGAATCCAACCTATAAATACACACTTATGGCTGCCAGAGGAGAAGGGAGTTGGGAGATGGGCAAAATGGGCAAAGGGGAGTGGGAAATACAGGCTTCCAGTTACGTAATGAATAGGTCACATGAATAAGAAGTACAACATAAGGAATATAGTCAAGGCTATTATAACAGCATCATATGGTGACAGACGCAGCCACACTCGTGGTGAGCACGGCACAGGGCACAAACTTGTCAGATCCTTACACTGAACACCTGGAACTAATTGAACATTGTATGTCAACTATACAAAAAAAAAAAAAAAAAATCTTGAGTTCTGGAGTCAGAATTTTGATTCACATCCTAACTCCACCATTTAAAATCTAGGTGGTTTAGTCAAGCTGTGTTCTTTTAAGCATAAATTCATCTCACCTTACAAATGATTAGTAGAAGGTTTACAAAAATGGCCACAATTCATATTCTCTCTGTATCCACTCTCTCCATCCCCCCCTACTTTGTAATGCGACTTTGTGGCTCCAACATTCCTGTAAATCCTTCATCTTAGAAGACAGTTCAGATGAGACCATGGCAAGGGAGATACTGTAGACTGAAAAATTATAGAAAGTTTATATACAGGAAGCTCAATTTCAAATGATTATTTGAAATTATTTGTGAAACCCTTAGTTAAAATAGATGAAATATATTTTTAATAAATGGTGATAATGTGGTGAGTTGTAAAAGGTGTGGGTTAGATGTACGCAAATGAGGCCCATAATCAGCATTAACTAGTTATATGGCTGGAGATAAGGGACTCACCTCTTTGAATTTCATTTTATTTGTTTTTAGAATGTGGACAGTGTTACTTAGGCTTCAGGGATATTGTGAGGAATTGCAAATGTGCATAAAATGTGTAACACAAGGGTGCCTGGGTGGCTCAGTCGGTTAAGTGTCTAACTCTTGATTTCAGCTCAGGTCATGATCTCAGGGCTGTGGGACGGAGCCCCTAGTTGGGCTCTGCACTGGGTATGGAGCCTACTTAAGATTCTCTCCTCTCTCTCCATCTGAGACCCCTCCAAATGTGTAACACAAAACTGGCACTAAATAAACGTTAGCCTTATTAGTAGTCTTATTATAGAAACACTACAGAGCTACCCTACGACACAGCAATTACACTACTAGGTATTTACCCAAAGAATACAAACATAGTGATCCAAAGGGGCACCTGCACCCCAATGTTTACAGAAGCAACATCCACAACAGCTAAGCTATAAAAAGAGCCCAGATGTTCACTGAGAAATGAATGGATAAAGAAGATGTGGTCTATATATATATGTGTGTGTATACATATATATATATATATATATACACACACAAAATGGACTCTTAACTACAGGAAACGAACTGAGCACTGCTGGAGGGGAGGTCAGTGGGAGGATAGGGTAACTGACCGATAGGCATTAAGGAGGACACATGACGTAATGAGCACTGGGTATTGTATGCAACTGGTGAATCACTGACCTCTGAAACTAATAATATGCTAGATGCTAATTGAATTAAAAAAAAAAAAGAGGAAAAAACCTTACAAAAACACCACAGAGTTCAGAATTCATAACTTATACTGTCAAAGCTATCTGAATAAAGCAGGTCCCCTGTGTATTTAATGTGGGAGAAGGGATTCATTTGTAAGCTCATAATCACACAGTTGTAATGGGAACTTCTGCAGTGCATGAAGGTCTGAAAAAGAAGCTGTGAAATGCATTGCCCTGCTCAGAAATACTCCTGGAAAGCTCTCTGGAAAGCAACAGGCAAGCATGGCATATCTTATCGGGGCAATTTTCCCAGATGTCCGACCTAAGGAATTTTGAACACCTCCAAAAATGCACACTAAAGCGGTTCTGTAAGTCCACACAAATGCAGATAGTTGGATTTAGGGAAATTTAAAATCTCCTTTTAGGTATTAATTCTACTATATATATGGGACTCCAAGAAGCTCATTTGTTTTCTATAAAGGAAATCAACATGGATTCCCTCAGCCAACTGGGATCTACTGGTTATTAAGCAACATGGAGATGTCCCTGCCAGCAAGCGTGAAGAAATGGGATTGGCTGAATGAAGTACAGTGGTGTCTGGGGGCGGAGGGAAGATCTACCAAGGCCAGCTCAAACGTATCACAGAATAATAATTTTCCACCTATTGATGGACTGAATGTTTCTATTCCCCCTCTGAATTCCTATGTCCTACCCTCATTCCCAATGTGATGGAATTTGGAGGTGGGGCCTTTGGGGGGTGACTGGGTCATGAGGGTAGAGTCCTCAGAGATGGAATCAGTCCCCTTAGAAGAAGAGACATGAGAGAAATGATAGTTCTTTTCACTATGTGAGGACATAGCAAGGAGGCTCTTTGAATTTCAGGAAGGGGGCTCTCAGGTGGCATGGAACCTGTGGCACCTTGACCTTGGGAAGTCCAGCCTCCAGACTCTAAGAAATAAATGTCTGTTGGTCCATGGTCCATGCCAGTTTGTTACAGTGGCCCAAGCTGATGTCAACACAATCTTTGTTTGCCACTTTTCTGATAAAGCAGATGGTCCTGTTTGTTGACCTGAGGGAGCTTGGACTCAAAGGTCCAGATGAGGAAATCAACAGATAACTTTGCTCTGTGGTACGTAGGTCATGTTCTCAAGAATCGAGGACCATTTCTTAGCAGCTGTACAGATAATGAGTGTACGGACACCTTCCACGCTAGATGGGGATGTTCCTAACATCCCATGGGCTACCCCTGCATTTGATGCAACAAGGGGAACTTGTCTAATTACCAAAGCATATGATGTCCTTCACAGAATAATGCAGTAAGTGTATGGGTGCTAGACTCAGGTGGTTTGGGTTAGAATTTTGGCTCTGCAGCTTTCCGATTTGGAGTGAGTAGCTCAACTGCTTAACCTCTCTAATCATTAATTTCTTAATTACACATGCAAAATGGAGACTGAAGTAGAATTTGTCTTCTAGGGTGGAGAGTATTAAATGAAACAATAAATATAAAACGATGAGCACAGCATCTGGAAAGTACTGAGCATGCAAAAATTCCAGTCACTATCCTCCTTATTTTTATTGTTGGTCACAGTATATGTTTCCTGGTCATGCCTGAAGGAGATATTTAATGAGGGTGAGGTCAAAAGTTGGAAGTTTCCCCAAAGCTCACAGGCCACGGATATGCCTGCCTCAGTGACAGAGATCCAAATTGAATGGAAGGAAGATCTGCGGGACGCTGTCTTACGATGTGGGTACCAAGTCCATCCCTATCACCAAAGTCAGGTAAGTTGCCTTTTCTCCCTCTTTTCTGTTGTCTTTCCATATTCTAGGTTGTTGCCAATGGCCAACAAAATCGAAAGCACTGCTTTAAGCGGCTCTGTCTCCAATAGTCCCACACTTCTAAAAATCTATGGCAAGAGTCCCCTATGGGCAATAAAAAGGAATTCTATTAAATGGACTTAGTCATGACATTTAGGAGCAGAGAGTGTACACAGTGACCTCTAGATCAGCAAACCCACCAAGCTATCAGTTCAATAACACAGGGGATATTACGAGGCCTCGATCAGGTTGAATTTCTCAAAGGAGCTCAGACTTAAAATGGAGTCCATGAGCCCAGCAGTCTAATATTTGGAGTGATTCAGAGATAACGTCACTCAAGTCTGGCTCTGTAGGACATGCCTTAGTTTGAGGACTGAGTCAGATTACAAAGAAGTGGAATGCAAAATCAGTTTAAAAAGAACTCCGAAGTCCTTTAAGAAATTGAGTTTCTCTTGTTCCCGTTGCCCTACACGGATGAACCCACACGTTACCCTTCCAGCCCCAGGGGGTTGTTGTGATCCGTCTTGGGAAGGAAAGAGGAATTATGTTCTCCTCCTTTCCCTGTGAAGAGTGACGGGGAGCAAGATGATGCCTGAGTGTGGTGAAGTTTCCAACCCACACGAGAACTCCTGAGGCCAGCTGCTGCTGTTCTCTTGAATTTGCCACCAACTCTCAGAATTTCTCACAATCACTGTCAAAAAAACCCTCTTCTTATGGGCAAAAAGGAAAAACAACTCTATTTCAGAAGTAGGCCACTGAGCAGAGTTTACATAATGGGGAAAGTGAGAAGTGTCCCCTTCTCCTGGAGCCGTGGGTGAGAGGTTCAGAGCCGGCTAGTACCCCCCTCTGTGCATGGTGTGGCAAACGACTCGCAAGCCAGGGGCTCTGGGTGCCTCTAGGCTGAGACTATGAGCTGGTCTTCCAGAGTCTGACGATGGCCCACTATTTTAGATAAAGTCCGACTACTAAATGATTTTGAAATGGGCGAAGCTTTGTTATGCTTTTGAAAGAACTGTTAGAAATGCAGATTACAAATCAGTGATGGCCAATCCCCAAAGGATTCTGTTTTTAAATTTCATTTGCCAATCAGTGAAAATGAAGGTACTACTGTCCAATTGGCTGGGGTCAGTTTCTAAGCCATGGTTTTGCCTGTGAAGAGTCCACTGGTCCACTCCACAGAATAACGACTTGAGGTTTTCATCAGAGAGCAAAAAGTAGAAAACAAACAAGCAAGAAAAATCGTACAGACATACTTAGGTACGCACATTCAGCACACCCTACCTTTGCGTGCTTCTTCTTTAAAGAATTTAGCTCCTTCTGTTGTTTCTTTAAGTGCTTCAGGTAAGCCTGTGGAAGAAACCAAGAGAATACCAAATCAGTGTTTTGTAGCCACGATGAATACATCTGGTGAGAAACAAAAATATATCAGTGTCACCAACATGTGTCACACAAGAGTGCTTGCAAAATGAGTGAGCCATTTTACCTTCATCTGCTTCAAATCTTCTATCCTCACTTGAGGGATAAGTTCGATACCTTAAAAAAAATTAAATCATTGTGTGTATTAAAAATTAGAATAACAGATAACACAAAATTCACCATTTTGAAATCTCATCTAAAGATTTTGAAGCAGCTTTACGTGTAAGGTTATGGATATAAACATCTTCATTTCTTATTACAAAGCAATTAACTAGACACTTCACTGGCAGGCTTACTGTCTTCGGTCAGGTTCCTTACAAGCAGAGCCTGAGCTGGAGTTCTGTGTGCATGTGGCTTACTGAGGGAGGGCTCTCAGGAGAAACCCCAGAAGCGAGAGAAGCAGAATAGGGCAGAGGAAGTAAGCAGGGGGCACTTCCGGCCAAAATCCAACCTGATCCTGCTGGAGGCTCTTAAGCATAAATGGCCATCCAAATTTGTCAGACCTTGAGGTACGAGACTGGGCTTTCATCACCCCAGAACAGCCAGCCAGTGGCTTCAGAGACTGTACAAAGCCTTCCAGGCATTTCCAGGCAAGGGAACTCCCACAGTCTGAGGGCAATCCTCTGAGAAAGTGGCAGCTGTGATTTGCAATCAGCCAATACACAGAACAGCTGGAGGAAGGGGGGTGCAAAGCCCACAAAGGATATCAGATCAGGCACTGCAGCATCTGTGAGTGTTACTTTGCTCTTTGTATTTCAGGATCTATCATCCCAGTCAACTACCTCCCTCTTCATCGTCATCAAAGAACAAAACTTTTTTTTTTTTTTCCTCAGCTGCTTTGATCAAATGTAACTTTTAAGCAATAGGCTATTGAGTACTGCCATGCCTTCAACACATAGGAAATCCTGGAATCAAACTGTGGTATAACAGAATGTTGACATGAGGACCCGGAGTCATATACTCCATTATCCTGCTACTAGAGGGATGCTAGGCCAGGTGTTGTCATGGCAACTGGAGTTGTCGGAGAATCCCCAAACATTTTCTGTTGGACTGCAGATTTTTCATCTTACAAATTAAAAGGAATGTGTGTTTTGTACTCTAATTGAATTCCATTAGACTCCAAAAAGCAAGGGATGAGATATTCAAGAAAGAGAGGCCTCGAGTCCCAGGCTCTTGTTTTTTAGTTTTGTTCATTTTAAGAGGAGGTGCACAGCCAGTGTGGGGTAGGAAGGCGGGAAAGGGAGTTAGGGCTAAGAGAAATCGGTCCTGGGATCTATACCATCTATGATAGGGGTGTCCAGAGAACCTGGGGCTGTTCTTCATCTCCTATGTCTGATGTCACAAGGCAACTCCCTGCTTTACCGCAAGAGCAAGGGGGCACTATAGGGCAGAGATGTGAATCTTGCCTGTAAAATGAACAGAGGACTGGGGTGCGTGCTGGGTCCTCCAGAGAGCTAACAAATATTAAGACTGAAACCAGTCCAATGAGACTTCTCTTATGGTCTTGGTTAAAGTAAATCTTGATTAACGGGAACCTACGCAAACATGAACTTGGTTTTACATTTTTTTGGGAAAGATAGAAATAACTTGTAAAAATTTTAGTTCCTATAAACGATGTATCTAGGAAACACCCACACTCTGCATGCAGAACAGGAACTGGTATATGCTTAGTTCCCTCTATGGGCCTACCAAAGTGTGTCTGACACAACTTTTGGTGACCATGGCAGGGTTCTATGTGGGGGCTGTCCAATGGAGAGCCATGAGCTATGTGTGGTTCTGGGCACCTGAACTGTGGATAGTGCAAATAAAGAGTTCAAATGTTCATTTTAACGTTGAAATTTATAGAGCCACACGTGGCTAGTGGCTGCTCCACTGGCCAGTGTAGTTCTACAAGCCTCCCTGGTTAAGGGAAGGGTTAAGTATGGAACTTTGGGCTCCAAAGATTGTAGTTAATTCAAGTTTCACTACGTCAAGTTTTTGTTCTTATCAACAAAGCTCAAAAAGAACTTGTTTGCTCTCAAGCCACCTTTTGGAGGCCAACTCAGAGTTTAGTTTTAATTCCTTATTCTTAAAATTAAAAAGAAAATCAATGCCTGGTCAGTCAGCACGGAAGCTAATTTTAAATAAGGAATATGGTTGCGGCCCTACCTACTAGCTGAATGTTAGCACATGGGACCAATCATTCCTTGTGGTGACACCTCTTGGGATATTTTGTTTCACCCACAGGAAGCTCTATAGAATTGGCCTTCAAATGTCCATCTGATAATTTTACAAATAATCATGGATGCTGTATATCTACTCATGGGAGCAACCTGTCAAGAAGGAATCTAGAAATATATGAACAATGATGATTCTGTTGGTTCATGAGCCCACTGCCTGTCCAGATGAGTGACCGTAGGGGTATCCAGGAGAGTGTGGGGATGACTTAGCAAAGTTCACTACGTGGAAGTTCTTTTCATTAGAGAGTCTAAATCCTTTCTAAAACTATGGATATGGTACCCAGGGCCCTAAGTTGAAGGGGATCTAGTAGATGAAACAAAGGTTGACTTCTGTTAAACACTCAGGGAAATTAAGTAGTTCGTCCAATCTACAAGAAAACATGCTGCTCTTGACTTTTACAGGGCAATGAAAATTGGCAAAATTAGCAATTCTAAATACCCTCATAGAAGGCTATTCAAAAAGAGTCTAAAATTGCCAGAACAGGTAAGAAGACCTAACCCCTCCCCTTTACCTTTCTTCGCTTCCACACCAGACCCCAGGGCCGCCGTGGTGGTTGGTCTGAGCTCAGAGCTGCTCTGTGGGGTCACGTTTGCTTTGGCAGTGTTGGCTTTTCCTTTCTTGTCGTTCTTAGAAGTATCACTGGGCACGTCTGCTATGTCACTCTGGAGCAGAAATGTTTGTGTTAACCTACACAAATGTGACCTTGCTTTCAACTGTCTTGCCCTTTCTCTTTTACTGAATCCGGTTTGAATCACTCAGCATCTCCCCTACAACTCTCTTAATGGATCACTGCCTGGCAGGAGAAAGATTACATGGTTTTCTCAGGCTTGAGGCAAAGGATGAAGCCAAGGAAAAAAGATGCCACTCTTTTACAAGCAGGGTATGGTAAAGGGAGCTTTAAAAACAAAGGCACAAACAAGGCAAGTGTGCACAACAATGGGGAAGGTTGGATGCAGGACTGGTAAGCAACAGAGACACATATATGTCAATTTCACCAATTTACTGACTTCGGTTAGCTGGTATTCTAGTGTATCACAAAAGCACCCTATATCTGAAACATTACTAAAAGCATTATGGATTTCCATTTCATTTAGTAAATGTTTTCCATTTTGTTTATTGAATATGCTACACTTTTACAGACCCTTGCAAATATTTTGTTGAATTGATAAATGTAATTTCAAAAACACTCTTCAAGTTTGGTCTATGAATTTATCACTTTGTCTTGCTCTTATAATCACTGACCACTGAACTTCCCCAACTTGGCTGTCCTTAGCCAACCATTGCTACTTACAGTTTCAATGCCCATAGCTCTCATTTGGTCTGCTCTCTTTTCCGTAATGGAAAGAAATTTCTTTGGATCTGATAAAGCATCTACGATATCTGAAAAAAAAAAAAAAAAAAAGTCAAGGGGCTGTTGATTCTCTGTTTTACCGTACACACACAGGAAAATTCAGCTAATGAACAATTCATAATCCTGGACCTCTGTTAAGTCTTCTGTTAAGTACCCTCGCCTAGGACATAAGACAGAATTAGGAAAGCACAGCAGTTATAGAAAACAGAAATAAGGGCAAGGACAAAAGCCAGATGACTCTCTCCTATTTTCTCTTTGGTTTTCACCCAAATAAAGATGACAGTGTGGCAGGGTAGGCCAAGTGAATTGCCTTGAGTTCTTGACTATTTACTTATAAGCAAGTTGATTCATGTCTCCAGCTCAGTTTCTTCATCTGAATATTAGGGCTGATACCTCCCACTCTGAAGGGATACGATGAGTATTCAATGAGATGATAACTGTAAAAAGTGCTTGGAACATAGTAGATACCACTGGTATCTAAGTCTTATTTTTAGGTAAGAAGGCTAATACATATTTAAAGCCAGTTTTGGTTCCATTGTAGTTAAAATGAAGTATTCTCCTGCATCGTCTTAGCTACACCTTAAAAATGGTAAAATTTCATGTTTTACATAATGTCATTGAAGAGTTCCAAGTACTTTTCAGTAGAATCTCATGTAATTTTGCATTATTTACCAATACTACAGAGGTAATATTATGCTCATTACCTTAAAACAGTACGTAATTTACAATTTTCAGAAACTCTACGTACATCAATTTCTTCCAGTAAAATCACCCTCCTAATTATAGTCTTAAGATAATTTTTCTCCATTGAATATATGTATTTCCTTTTATAATAGAAAATAATACATGTACATGATAAACATTCAAACATATAAAATGTAAAAATCTCCTCTCCTGCCAATCCTACCCTTTGTATACACTGTTAACCATTTCTTGCATCCTTATTGAAAAAAAGAACAAAACAAACAAGCCAAACTCCAAATGGGTTCACAGTTTCCTGCACCTATTTTTTATTTTAAATTTCACATATCTTGGAGACACTTCTTTATCGGTAATGTAGGTCTACTGTATTACTTTTAAGTCATTTTCAGAATGACTACCATTTCTTTAACAGTGTTCCGTATTGACAGACTGTTAGATTACTTCCAGTTCTTTGTTATTATAAAGAGGTATTGCAGGGAAGATCTTCGAATGTCAAATCTCAGCGCAGACATTTGCAGTATCCATAGGATAAATGCCTAGAGGTTAGAATGATGTGTAAGGGTATTTGTCCTTTTGGTCATAGCATTGCCAAGCTACCCTCCAAAGAAGTTGCATCAATTTATTTTCTCCTACCAGGGCTATATGAGAAGGTCTGACTCTAGTTATCACTCAGGTCCCTAAGAACTCTTTGTCTCGTAATGGGGGATGTGACCAAATCAGCTCTTAAATCTTGCTTAGGAAAAATGACAGATAATCATTTTTTGGAAGTTAAAGTTCCAAGGCTATATTTACCTACTTTAAGTCCAAATTACGAACATTTTCATGCATACACAGAAGTAAAGTTAAAATAACCCCCCATCTACTGTTGGAGCCCTACCTGTTATAAACAGCCCACTACATCTCCTTTATCTAGTCATCCTTCCCTTTTTTCCTTTCTCTCTTCTCTCTGCTGACACATTTTGAGGCCAATTCCAGACATTATAACATTTCATTCCTAATTACTTCTCTATACGTCTCTTAAAAAAAGTGCATTTTCTTTCAGAACCAACTGTGGCAGCACTATGTTCAACCAAGCTGGCAGTGATTCCTTACTACTAATATAATAAATGACCCATCTTATTATTTCCCCTATTGACAATTTGTTTGAATCAAGCTATAAAGCCCATACAAGGTCCCTGATAACTAAGTCTCTTGAACTTACTTTAATCTAGACTAGTCCCTGCTACTATTTATTTTTCATAATGTATACATTTGTTGAGGACACAGATCAGGTATCCCATAAAATGTCCCACATTCTGAGTATCAATGCTTGCTTGTTGTGTTATGAGGCTCGACTTTCCCTTTTTGTAGGAAAACTCCAAAGTAGATACCATGACATTCAGTATGGGTCCCATATAAACAGATAAAGCTTGACTACCCCACTAGCCCTGGTGCTAAACTCACTGAGTTGGCTCAGGACATTTAATCCATCTGTGTCTTACTCCCAGATGCCTCCTCCTTGCCCTTGTCCACACTGTTACAGGCCAAGGTGAAACTCACACTGTGTGCACTAAACCCCCTGCCCGTGGTGGGGAGGCCCTACCTGTACACACCCACACTGGATACACTTTGCCTTGGCTTCCCACTGGAATATCTCAGTGGATGGTCCACATGGCTGGCTATTAGGAAACAAGTACTCGCTTTTGTGTGTGTGTGTGTGATATACAATTAGGTTGAAGGCCTGGAGGATATATATGGTATTTTTCAGTGGTTACTGGTAGTCCTTTCAGTAGGAATAACAAATAACACTTAATCACTTCCAGCTGATTATAAAACCAAGAAAGCAAGACCTTAATGTGTGAAATGACCCATAATCATTCCAAACTAACCAAACTACTTCCCTTTTTGTATAGTCTTGTGTCATTGTTTTCCACGTGAATACATATTTTATATGGTTTATTTAAAATTATATAATCTCCTTTTATCATTATTAGGTTATACCTGTATAGTTCTAAGGCTGAACTTTTATTGAATGAATAATGTTTCATAGAGTTTATGCACCAAATTATTCTCTATTTCTAGATATTTAGATGGACTTTCAATTTTTTTTTTATGAAAGATGACTTTGCAAGAAATATGTTAATATAGAAAGAGGTCATTTCTTTTTATCAGAGAATTTGTAGTTTAGATACATAAGATAGAAACTTATACACTTGATGAGTATCACTAACAAAATTTGTTCCTAATAAGCTTTAAAATATTTAAGAATAATTAATGGAAGGAATGAGTACAAGGAAACTATAGCAGAATTATAGCAGAAATATAGCAGAGGGTATAGGAAGTTGAATACTGCCCTTCAAAATTCATGACTACTGGGGGACCTCGGGACATCAGCTTATTTACAAATAGGGTCTTTGCATATATAATTAAAGACTGAGATTACACTGGGTTAGGGTAGGCTCCAAATCTAATAATTGGTGTCACTCTAAAATGAGGAGAGGTCATACAGAGAGACAAAAAGAAAAAGGCTAGGAGATGACAGAGAATAGAATAACATAGCTATATGCTAGGAACACTGAGGACTGCCAGGAACCACTAGGAGTTAGGAAGAGGAAAGGAAGGATTTCTCCAAGAGCCACCAACTCTAGGATTTCAAACTTCTAGGCTCCAGAACCGTCAGAGAATACATTTCTGTTGTCTCAAGTCTTCCAGTTTGTGGCAAATCTGATTACCAATGGTAACTGAGAAAAAAGTTGTTGCTATTGTTTTAGTTTTTGTTGTTTTTAAAGGAGACAGAAGTTTATTGAATACACTGCAAGGTAGCAGTAGACAGCAAAGGTGGGACTGTCTGCCACAAGGTGGTAGGGAGGGGTCGTAGTTGTAGGGCAGAGTGAAGAGGTATGGGAACATATGAATTTTGCCTTTTTTGATAACTGTGCCTGGTTGTGAGTGGTCCACTGGTTAGTTAGGGCCTATGGTTATTTTGAAGTAGGTTGCTTAATGAGCCTGTTTGCATGCTTGAGGTTCCATTGCTCAAGCCTGTTGCCTAACGGCCTAAAAGGGCCTTTATATTCCCACTTGACAGATCGACAATGACAAATCTTTGGCATTTGGGTGGAGGTCTCATCTTCAGTAGCTTCTTCCTGATAAAAGAGCTGTGGAGAGGTATCCCTATCCATTGGCCAACATTGGTCCGTTGGGAATTTGTACGTAGGAATTACAAATGGTAGAGGCAACTGAGTCCAAGGTAGACAAGATATACGCATTTCCCTAAGTAGAAGGGATCATCTGTCAGCTTGAAATTATGGCAGCGAAGGAGTTTTCTATTCTTGGGTATATCTTTCAAGCAAAGTAGGCTTTTTCATTGTTAATAAGAGCATCCCTCAGCCCCTGGAGACCTCTTGAGGACCTGTCATGGTGTGATCAAAGATATATTGGACCCTAGAGTATTATTCTTGTTCCCTGCAGCAATGTCTTGGTCCCAGCCTTGAGGGCTGATTCTGCACAATTCTGACTGAGAACATAAGTGCTGTATTTTATAACAGAGTCACGAAACAATACGTAATTAGGTCATATATTGTTTTGTATTACATGGACAAACTGGCTAAGATGTCCTTGTCAGCCATCTGCTGAAGGACTGTGTAGATAGAGCCTAAATTATACATCAAAATAAGATGCCACAGATTTATCCATTAGTTGGATACATATCATTACTTAAATCCGTCTTCAATTACCAGTATTAACAATTCTAGAAGCTATTGGAGAATTATGTTCCCAGATCTTGAAATATTGCCTTGTTACTCAGAGTTTAAATGAGATGCTTTTTTCACAGTTACGTGGGCTTTTGATATTTTTCTAATATACGATATAACTCAATATAATAGTGTCTTTGATCAAATGATAACAGAAACACACAAAGTCTAAATAAGGCTTGTTCAAACTGAATCACATGGGACAAAAACGAGATGATGAAATGCCTTGAACAAGGCTTAGGTTAGCCGGTCACTTAAAACAAGCACTTCATTCCTGGCAATTTTGAATAATAAATCAGGTACTTCTAGGACACAGGAATTTGCCCTGTGGTGGCAGGTGCTCATTCTGTAGCCAGAGCAACAGATCAGTGCAGAGGGCAGCAACTGGGATAGTTTCACCAAAATAAATCTGGCGTTATCTTGGCCAAAGGTTTGCATATTTAAGTAAACCTGTTATCTTTCTTTGGTGCCAATGTGACATTTCAAAGGTATCCTCCCCATGTATTAGAGGAACATTGTGGCTAGGTAGATCCCACATAGTTCTGCATTCCACGGGACACCCCTCTGTGCCAAGAGTGAAGTTTAGATGCTGTTCA